CCCATACTTTTCTTGATCGATTTTGATGGTTTCCTATTCAACTGTTTGAGATAGGTCCATTGAGGAGGATAATAGGATGACAAAATTAAAATATGACTATTTGATGGATTTCCAGTGGGTTGATATCTGCTTTGAGGTGTTTGACTATTTCTTGGCATCTGTGGTTGAAATTGAGATGCTGGTCTCCCATGCCCTCCAAAAGGTTGTGATGGTATATGGGGGCTTGTAAATGGGGTGGTGGCTGGTTTTGTGTCCAGATAGACTGGATGGTCCAGTTGAGATGAGAGCTGTTTATAAGGGTGACAATTCTGATTAGACTTCAGCTGCAGTTTCTCTTGAGCTTGTACCCAGGATCTGGTATCCAGTTCAGGAAGCTTCACAGGCTTACTCTTCTGCCTTTCATCTTCATCATTTGAAAGATTTTTCATGTTTTGTTGATTCATAGGAGAAGTTTGCAGACAACATGGATTTCCCTCCGGGTTGTAGGCTATTGGTTTGAAATGATATAATGTAGAAGCTTTAGGTTGATGGTGGTCATGAATTGGTTGGTAGTGATGATCTGGGTACCAATCTGGTTCAATTGAGTTCAGACTAACAGTCAATTATTTGGCTGATCCTAATTTGGCTGTCTTTGATGAGACATGATGAGTGGATCAATATAGGCAACGTTGGTCCGGTGTGTTGCTTTGAGTGAGCAACGTCAAGCAACGCACGGCAACAGGTGCACACAAGCAACAGCAGGCAACGCAACGGTTCAGGTGTTGCTTGATGCGTTGCCCCTCAGGGACAGGTATTTTTACCGTTGCGTTGCGGTGCGCTGCCGTTGCTGGCAACGCAACAGGGCAACGGGGAAGCTCTGGTGTTGTGGATAGGTTGAATGTTCTGTTGGAGTTGTTGAGAAGAGTTTGAAAGTGTTGATTTGATGAAATGAAGATTGGGGAGAATGCATCAGAGACTCTTCAACTTCCCTCACTCAATGGTTTCATTAGCCCTCAAGTCTTGTTCAAAGGGTTTTAACTCATTTGAAGTCACATTGAATGAACATCAATCTCTTGATTCATTTACTGTTCGAGACCTCAAATCTATCATCAAGAAAAATATAAAGGTTAGAGTTCTTTCATCGATATGTTCTTTGGTATTGCTTTGAATTGATGAAACTGATATTGGTTTGACCAAATCATCTATTAAGCTTGATCCAACTGGTCAACGACTAACTACGGTCGATAAAAAAGTTCTTGATGTTCTCAAATGCCATTCCTTAACATTTTCAAAAAGTAAGTCTATCACCAGATTACTCTAATTGATTGCGTTCATAGATTGGTTTTATCAAGAGAGCCTACTTATTTTACTTTTGTTTTGTACATCCATCTAGTTCATTCTATTACTGGATCCTTTCTGGTGTCCTCTTTTGTTTTTTTTCCTTTCAATTTGTTCATATTACAACTTTCTTTGCGCGTATCCCCGCGCAAACGGGTTCGATCACGTTGTGTTGCGAGCAACAATGAGCAACGGGCACCGCAACGGCGAGCAACGGGCAACGCAACGGTGAGCAACGCAGCGGTAAACTCTTTGCTCGATGCGTTGCGGCTGGGTGAGTGAAAAAGCCATCCGTTGCGTTGCGCGCAACGGCCGTTGCTCGTAGGACTTGACCATTGGATCTGATCCACTCCCATTTGTGCATGGGGCTTACCATTCAATGGGTTCAGATTTGCCTTTGGTTTCAGTTTTGATTTGCTTTGACACTTTTAAGGGTCAGGTGGGCAAGTGAAATAATCTTTTACTATAGCTGTGGTAATATGCTCATGGACCACACATCAAAAAAAGGAAGGGGAGAAGGGTCATAATTATGGTCTGCTTCTTCAGGAGGAAGCTGTGGCGTTTGAAGTCGACACTGGTCAGTTGAAGATCCGTGATGACAGTGACGCGTGGCCGGTCCCGGAACAGACGCGGTACTGCCAAAGTCCATCAGTCTCTCTATTACGTCACGCAGACTGAGTTATGAGTTGTCAAGGTCAGAAGGAAGCAATCCTCGACCATCAAACATGGAATCATCAGCCCGCATACGACAAAAGACCGAAAGATTAGAATCAGAGGTACTTCAGGAGTACAAGCGCTTAAATGACATCCTCAATCGAGTAAGACTCATTCCTTTCAAAGCCGACTGACCAATTAATGTAACGCGAACTGACCAAGTCATGACTCTGCTAGATGTCCGACACTGCGCAAGATCTCACCACTATGGCCCCATCACTCCTTGAAGGCTTCTTACCTCTAGAGCGAAAGATGGGTCTAGTTCTAACGCTTTTCAAGGCTTCCGTTTGGTCTGTTCTTGTCGATAAACAACGCAAGTTGGAGGCCAAGCAAGCGGAACAAGCTGATGCATCACACGCGGAACGATCGTGATTCTCTAGTCCACATCGTATGGTAAAAACAATGAATGCCTTTCACTACTGGGCTTATACTTGATGATGAACTCGCCCACTCAGGTTGCGTACGGGCTGTCACGGCAAAAACTGGATCCGTACAATCAAAAGCCCCTCGTAGTGGCTGGACGCTCTATATATTGTAATTCAACTTCTAGATTCTGACGGTAGGAAGTACCTCGCGGGGCGCTATCGACCTGTGGCGATTCATTCTCCAACAATCATGATTGTGAACCTCCTAGACGTATGTTGGTAGTACAGCGTTCTATCAGTGTATGTAGATATACAGTGAAGCTCAATATTTTTCATCCAATCAAGTCTCCATGATAAATCAAGAAATGTCAGCTAACCGGTATCTTGAAGAGTTCAAGAGAAACAATCTGTCTCAACGTTTTGATAGTGGCAAGTCTAACTCCCCGCATAAAGCACTCCCCTTTGACGAGCAAGATGCTCAATGTTAGCTCCTCATGAACTCAAGAAGTTTGTTGAGACTTTAGTCCATTCTCGTAGCCCAGTGCTGATTGAAGACATACCTTACGGCGTGTGAAAAGTCGTGGATAACCCGCGTCACAGATAATAACCAGAAACGACAATGGTGAAACTCTCCTACGCGGAATGTAAATGGCCCAGAGGCCTTGAAAGGGTCTTCAAGCAATCCATTGACTCTGTTAAAACAGAAGTCCGTCATCTGCTGGCCGAACAGCGGGCGGGCCGCGATACGTTAGCCGGTAGCCGGCAGTCGGCTCAACTGGCGCCGGAGCGGTATTGGTTCCGATCTTGATCGTTCGTGACTTGAGGTGGCCTACCTGATGACTGACAGCTTGGCTTGATGAATCCAATTTCTTGATAAACAACAATCCTTCATAATCCTTCATACACACCAAAAGCCCAGAAAAACACGAGCAAGATGTTCCAAAGTTCGATTTATTCAAGAAGAAAACTCTTCACCAACTTTTCAAGGTCTTTGTCATCTTCGTCAATCTTATCATCAAATTCTCGGTCTACGTCAATTGGTTTCACTGGACTTGGTTTGTTTTCATAAGCCACTTTGTTTAGTCACCAGAGAATTAATCCTACGACTTTCTTTGATTTGAACTTGATAGGTGCAATGGGAAAAGAAATGGTATAAGCCTTGAAATGAAAATCACTTGATAAAATGAAACTGATATCTTGTTATATTTCTTTAATGGAATTGGAGATACTTAGGCATCCAACCTTCTCACTAAATCATTTCCACCATCATCATCGTCGATTCAATCAAAAACTTCATCTTCACCTCAAGCTTCATTCATAATTCATGATACATCAGAAAGTGTGAGTAATCTTTGCGGTTTATTTTTCCAATCAAGTCAAGTTTCATTGACGTCCTGTTTTGTGTTTTAGTCCATGACAGAATTTTTTGAACGACATGCTCATCTTTATCCTAGTGGTACTATCATAACAGCTCCAAGTAAGTTGAACTACCCAGTTCTGCAAGCAAAGTCTTGACTAAATACTGATGGAAACCGCTCTTTGAATTTCTTCATAACCTTCACAGCTCCTGCTTCAGTATCTAAACAAGCTTCAACAATCATTACAATGTTACCGGATTCTGAAATAGTAAAAGAAGTTTACTTACATCCTGAAACTGGAATTCTATCAGGAATTCAATCAATCTCTACACCGAGTCCTACACTTTGTATAGATTCTACTACATTAGATCGATCTGTTGCTATTGAAGTATCCTCAACACTTTCAAATTCTGCCCAGGTCAATATGCTAGATGCTCCTGTTTCCGGTGGTCAGTTCTTTCTTCTCTCCCTCTTCAAAAGACCTTAACCCACTGAGATTCTTTTGTTTTCTAAAACAGGTGTCGTAGGAGCCAAACAAGCTACATTATCATTCATGTGTGGTGGAGATGAAACTGCATTCCAAACAGCTTCCAACATTTTAAGCAAGATGGGAAAGAATTCAATTTATTGTGGTCAATCAGGTTCAGGTTTATCAGCTAAACTTGCCAATAATTTATTATTAGCCATCTCAATGATTGGGATTTCAGAATCAATGTTATTTGGATTAAAATTAGGTTTATCGCCTCAAACTTTAACTTCAATCATTAATTCATCTTCAGGTCAATGTTGGAGTTCTAAAGTCAATAATCCAGTCCCAGGTTCATTATCTACACCTACACCTGCTGATTCAGGTTATAGAGCTGGATTTAAATCTAAATTAATGTTGAAAGACTTGAATATTACAAAATCAGTTGCAGATGAAATTAATTTAAATTTACCTTTGTTGACACTTTCTAATCGAATTTATAATAAAGTTTGTAATGATGAAGAATTAACAGATTTAGACTTCAGTGTGGTTTATCAATGGCTTAAAGTTGCAAACGAACATTTAAATTCAAATCAAAATCATCCGGCTGAAGAAAAGAATTAAATTTTTAGTCATGTTTCAATTCTCTCTTAATATATTCAATTTTCATCAACTTGATCGATTGTAATTGTTCGTCGTTAGCACTTTCTTTTTTTGACTTATCTCTCATCTTTTTTCAATCTGGTAAAGATAATCAAAATCAATACAAAACTTTCTTAAAAATCCAATTTCTTCATCCAAACAAAAATCTGTAAATGTAATTATATCTCCTAAAATAACAACTATGAAATGATGAAAAAAAACAGTCTTCTTTCACCCTTGGATCATTTAAGCCTATTGTGAAGTCAAAGCCTTTCACAAACTAAAAATAGTATATCCTTCGACTCTAAAGATAAAAATATAAAACAGGGAGAAAAAATAAAAGTAAACATGATTCTAGATGCAGTTTTTAAAAAAACCTCATTCGGTAACAGGTTCAGAAGGTCCAGCACCACTTTCATCCACCACTTCCGAATCCTTTTCTTGATTTTCACTATCATCATTAACAACTTCTTCTTTCTCATTTAATGATGTTGGTATTGATTGTTGAAGTGAGCTAGGAATTGATTGAGTTGGAAAAAGATCTGATTTAAGTGTATTAAGTACTGGATCAATCCTTTCAAAGGTTGCATTCCAAAGGTGACTTTGTTCAATCGTAGGATTTTCATGTGGTGGTACTAAAAATCCTGATGCATGCATTACCAATAAAACATTTTTTAAATTTTCAGGTACAGCTTCGTACTATTTTCCAATCAAACAAAAATCAATAAATTAGTATCATTCATTTAGCATTTCCAAGAAATTCAACAAGATTAAATTCACCATTTGATCTCTTCTACCACTATGCATAAATCGATCTAAAAACCCTAAGATCTGTAACCATAGTTCAGTCATTCTACCCATTCCTTGTTCACTTAATTGAATTAAATAATGTAAAAAGATTTTACAAAGTAAACCAGATGCTCTTAATCTGGTTTCACTCATCCCATCTGGATCTTTCCTAAACACTTGAGGTTTTAATAATTCTTCTAATACCGGAAACAAAACTCTTTCAAAAATGATGGTGAAATCTATCTTTCCACTCGATAGAATCTCAGGTGCTACTAATGATCTTTGTAAATTCCCTAACGCTAATTGTCTAAGTTCTCGATTTCCATTAATAGATTGTTGTCCATATGCTAATAAAACTGGCATCCAAAATGATGCCCATGGTTTGGATGGATCGGATTGTGCTTGTGCTAACATTCTTGGTATAAGGTCTTGAGCATTACGTATCATATCGATCGATTCAAGTGCACGTGCCGTGACAGAATCTTCCGACCTGTTATCAATGTAAGGAAAGTGATGAGAATATCAAAGGATATGATAAGATTTGATAGGGTTCAACTTACTTTGGATTTCCAGGATGTGGTCTAGACACTTCTTGCCCACATACACTAGCAAAAGCGTTCAGAGCATGTACAAATGGTGCAAAGTTATCCGCTACAATTCCAGGTGCCAATTCACCTTGAGATAACTGCTTCAAGACTGCGAATGATTCTCGTGCGGCTTCCTCAATACCAGCTGTTGCGATGAAAATTGAGAACAACATGTTCCATTGGGTCGATGTCCTAAACAAATCTCATAGGCAAATACGACGTCAGTTTTACACATCGCTTAAAGGATAGTAGATGATGCTCACCGGAATGCGTGTGGATGAGCCGATGCAATTTGACAAACACCAGTGACCATGGGCTGTGCAACGGACGCAAGAATAGATTGAGGAAGTGATCGGAAGACATCCAAGGCAAGAAAGAATTGATCTCGTAGTACTGCCTGTTGGATTGCAAGAGATTGTAATCTTAAAAGGCCTGCAATGGCTCGTTCGACCAAGAGTGGACTGAAAGCTGTCGAATTAGCCAGGATTTTCGAAAGGTACTCAAACACTGCACCCCAGAGTCGAGAAAGTGAATCGGGATTATGTGCAGCAATGGCCACAATCAACTCTAGTAGAAAGAGAGAACAAGGGTCATAATGCTGAGCAGTACGGTGCGTTTGAGGGGATGGAGGTGGCGAGTTTCGATCAGGTTGTCCCAGTCGACCTCGAGTGGACTTTGAGATACGTTGATCCGCCAATCCGACAAGTGTACGTATGATAGTCTCCTGGATATCGATATGAAGATTGCTAAAGGGACGGATTTATTAGATCCACTACCAACATCCCACTTGATTGAACTACTTACAAGATTCCTTCATAAAGTTCAGCGACATGACACGAAGCCAAACAGTCAATGGCACAGAGTGTAGACTCGATGTCATCATCAGTGATATCTCGGCCGATACCGTCTTGAGGACCAACATAAGGCGATAGAAGATATGAGGACAATGTAGAAAGTAGTCCTGCATCTGCTCGTCGTTCAGGTGCAAGAGAAGGGCTTTTAGGAGGGTGTAGTGCAATGGTTCCCACATCCGAAAAATCAGGAAGGGCGAGGAGCGCAGAGGGTAAGATAGAGTGAGCAAATAAGCTTTGTAAGATTTCAAAGATACAAAGCCATCCTTGTCTCATTGTACTTCCATCAGAGTTTGCAATCGTAAACAGAACCACTGTAGCAAGTTGTGCTTTGAAATTTTTACCAAATCGAATCGAAAGTGGACTGATAGTTAACATTTGACCTTCGGCAGATACAGTCGGAAAGTTTGTGTCCGCTGAAGGAAGTTGAGTGAGATCTGTAATCCGTGCTAGAGCCAAGACAACTTGATCAAATACTTCAGGTAAATTGAATCGACTGGCCAGTGTAGCACATTGTTGAAACCCAGCCACAATTCTTTGGAGCATGTGATCATCGTTGAAATTGGTAAAAGCATACGAAAATGCAGATATGACTGGTCTCCAAGAAACTTCGAACATTGCTTTATCGAAAATCGATGTATTACATGTGATAAAAGGACCTGAGGTAACAAAGATGAAAGATGTTGAATATCTGAGAGGTAGCTTCCGAGATCACGTAAAATGCATACCTGCTACCCTTGAACGACGCTGAAGCTCTTTCCAGGCATATTCAAACCCCAATTGACCTGAATGCTCTTCTGGCATGATGATTTCTCGTTTACGAATTGAATCAAATATAGCTTTCTAAATTCGTAAAAGGTGTTAGCTTAGGAAGCCACAAGATTCAAAATAACATCATCGAGCTCACCAAGTAATCTGGATTGAAGTCTTGTCCATCATTCACCCCCCTCAGATTGCGCTTGTAATCCTCGATGGTCATTTTTTTCTACAAATTTATTTGTTGGTTAGTGTATCTTAGCATCTTAGAAAGAATTTGACTCACTCTGTTCTGAGGGTTGTGTTGATCAGTATTTAACATAATCACCGAGTAAGATAAAACATAAGCTGCATCCTCAGTCTTGACTTCCGCTACGAGAGTGAACGATTTCAGCCAAATGACTACACATCGCAAACCATGCTAGTCAACTTACTTGCCCCAGCCGCAACATACACAGCTGCAAAGACTTCAGTAATTCTTGCGATCTGCTGAGACTCTCCAGGTAATCGAAATGTCTCGAGTAGGTCTCTCAAACAATCCGAAATTAATTTCTGAATACAAAACAAACAAACCGTAAGCAAATCAGATCGACTTTCAAAGATGAAAACTTAAAAGATAAAAAACCTCCTTACACCTCTAAAATCAAATAAAGTCATAAAAGCTTGTAAAACTTCTAAATTCTCAGGTCTAGAAATGAAATCACCCAATAATTTTTTATCTAATTTAGGACAAGTTTTAAAAAATAAAGCTAAACTTTGAGGTCTAGGTACAGAAGGATCGTCATAAATAATTTGATTCTCTTCTAAGAATTTTAATCCTACTTTTGGTTTTTCATTAAATTTGGCGGCTCCTTCTAACATTGCTCGCTTTTCACTCTTATCTCTTGCTAATAAAACTGGTGCTGGTACATCTACTGATGGTAATGGTGATGATTCTAATCTACTACTCATATGTCCAACGTGAGCTAAAAGTGTATCTAGACAGAGTAATTGGGATGTGTCTTGTGCGTTCATGTAAGCTGGATTAAGGGGATAGAAGCCCTACAAGAACCAAACGCTTTACTTCAGTCAATCCAATGATATATGCCATTGAAGATTTCATCACTTACCCTAGCTAGGAATCGGATCATTCGTTCAAACACGTCCTCACAATCGACATGACAATCAAAGTTCACCCAAAGATTGACCATAAAATCAGAAGCACGTGCAAGATGTGCCAAATGTTCGAGCATAAGTTGACGTGCTTCACCCGTGGCTACAACTCCTGGTCGAGGAGCCATAGCTTGACTTCGTGTTGTTCCTACTCCAGAGCTTCCTGGTCTTGTAGCAAGTGCGTTATCGCCATTTTCTCGTTTCCAAGTGATCCCATCCAACTGTTCTTCGATATCTCCCTTTCCACCATTCGCATGTGCAAGTTTACTGATGGTCAACGTAGGTTGTGGTCTTAATCGATCCATAAGATATGATAGAAAGAGCTCGAGATGGATTTTGAGGTAAGGTCGCATGGTGTCCATGAGATTGGTCATACAACGTAATGATGCAGATAAGAGAGTAGTATTATCCGATCGAACAAGCTGAAATAAATGCTTGCAAAGATCATCTGATACCATTGCGCGTAGGCTTGGAAACCTACTCACACTTCGTCCAGAAACTTCAAAAGCTGTGATTAAGATACTAAGAGCTGTAAGACGCATCGAATCTGTATGTTGAGTATCATAAGGGTTAAGTAATGAAATCAAAACTCTCATTAATTCTTTGATCGAAGGTAATCCGTAAGGCGAAAGGTCTAAGATCATCGTCTCTTCATCTATTTCGGGCTCTTGAACAGGCTCCTTTTCAGACTCTAATAATGGATCTTTTTCAGCGCTTTCAGTATCAAGAGGTGGATCTGGAGTCTCTCCATTTTCATTCGACACCATATCAGGAGGATTTGACTTTGCCCTTGCATGATCGCGTTCCTTGTTAAGTGAATCAGAGGCAGCTGGAATAGAACCACTACGTGGGTCAGGTGCTGTCATCCTTAATCCATCTTTCACTGCATCATCTTCAGTTGTACCATCATCGGAAGAAACATATGTATCATCCACAGATGGAGGTAGAGTTTTTAAACGCTGAAAAACAGAGGTGACCATGGTTTGCATAGTCCTTTCAGCCGAACGACGTAGTACCTCTGAATTCAGAATAGAAAGACATGTGTAAGCTAAGTATAAATGATGGAGGTCTTCAAGAGAGTAAGAAATTAACAAACCACTTAGTCTCATTTGACAACACATACTAAGCCCAGTTTCCATCATCTCACAAACCGCTTCATCAGTCAAAATATGACCTACTGGACCAGTAAGAGCATTCCGAAGGACATCCAAGATTTTCAAAAGAACTACTTCATCACCAACACTATCACTAGCTTCAAAACGACAATGAGTACCTGCTGAACTAACTTGTGACATGGCTAATGCTAGTGAAGGAGAATTGAGATGAATTAAAGAGTATGTTAAGAATTTGTCAATTGAAGATAAAGCGATGGCGGTGATTGGTCCAGTTGTTTCACTAGATCGAATAACAGCCAAGAATGGACTAAGGAGAGTTACAGCGTCAAGTTGAGTAATATCTAAAGTCACAATAAAAAGAATTCATCAGATTCCAACAAGAAGTGAGTGATTTATTAAACTAACCTTGGCATTCTCTAAGTTCCATCATTAAAGTAGAAAAACCAATCATAAGACTACCACTAGGATCTTCAAATCCTTGTGAAGAAGGACTTTTAGATTTAGAAACCAGAGTTTGATGAATATTTTGATGAGTGCCATTTCTTAAGTTTCTCATTCCGATTGTAGTAGTCAAACTTGATTTTAATCGATCATGATTTTGTGAAATTGAAGAACCATAAGGTGAAAAACTTGTTCCTGCCCATCTTGCATTCCTTCTCATTGCACTTGTTACCGATCTTTTATGGTCATTTCATTCAAATACAAAAGAAAACAAAGTATTAGAATTGAACACTCTCTTTTCTTCTTCTTCCCTTTTTATAAGGTTTTGAATGAATTTATGACTTACACTATTTCACCGTGGATAATACTTTCTGGTGATCCTTCACATGCGAAATCAATTCCATCCAAGTCCTCCATTTCGGTTGTTTTCCAATAGGTAAAGTTTCAAATTCCCAGGAAGCCTATGACGTGTGACTCAGAGAATGAGGTTTGTTAATTTTCTTTCGAGGTTGATTTTAATGGGTTCAGTACGTTTACTATTCCAGTTGAAGAGATGATCGTAATCAGTGTTCTTGAATGCTTTGAGGAGATGAGTTGATTCAGGTTTTGGTAGGAAATGAGAGATTCGTGTTTGTGATGGAGAGAACACCACCTTCAATTTCGATCACAGCAACATATCACTCAAGATGTCAAGGGATGAAACACCACGACGTATCACAGTTTCAGCTATTATGTGACATGTACTAAACACATTCTCGGACATCTCCAAAACTGCAAGCTCATCCAAAAAGAAACTCTCAACTCCGACAAATTTGAATGGCTCCAGATTTAACAAATGATGATGATACTGAACGCAAGGATAACAATTCAGAAAGAAACTTAAGAGTAACTAATTCAATAAAAGAATCTTATTCATACCAAGCATTGAATCCACATTTAGTAAGTCAAACATCAACTCAAAAATTGACTATATTCCAATTCATCAAACTCATCAACTAATTGTTTTCTTGATATAAACCATTTCATCAATTTACAGTGGTTTCGAGATCCATCAAATGAAAATGATGATTTAACTCAACTACAAGATCAAAGAATTGCTCAAATTCATTATACATTTGCTTTAAAAGATTATGAAAATTGTTTTAAAATTTGTTTACAACAATTAGAAAGTGAAGATAAAAATAACAAAAAGGCTTATTTATTTGATACTTTATTGATCTGTTGTTCATACTTAACTGGGATTGATGATTCGAAAGTTTTGGAATTGATTGAATTGAGTAAAGAACATGTTAGTGATTTTTTTCTTGATGATTATACTTGATTAGTTTTTTTGACTTTGACTTGGTATCATTTTCAGTGGAGGAATGTACCTTCTGTTGGTCTGAGAGCTGCGACGCTATTGTTGAAATTCAAAGATGAAGAAGGTATGCGTTTTCCTCTACATCACTCGACCCTCCATGACCCCCAAAACAAAAAGATAGTGCTAATTTGTTCATCGATTAATTCTAGGTGCTCTCCTAGCAACAGTTCCAGCTATACTTCATTGTGGGGATTTAAGAATTCGAAATATAATCTTCAAAGCTCTTTCTCAAACTTCTCAAGTGAACCAAATCATTCAAAGTTTTATTGATAAATTAATCGAAGAGAGATCAACACCGAGATTGATTGCTAATCGATTAAGAATACTTGATTTAAACAATTTCGAATCTGAAGTGACTTGGGATGATATTCTTCATGCTTTGGTGTCTTTGAGTCATTGATGTTCTTGCGATGTTTGAAGGAATTTGATCTCTAAGAGGGGGTCTGGAAAATGTATCTTCTCTTCACCCAATGGTGACTATAGGGTAAGTTTGACTTTCAATTCAATAAATGGAATCATGAAGATCAATAGCCAAGTGTTTATGTTTTGATAACTATCAATCAGATATGAAACCAGCATGCGTTGTTTCCTCGACGAGAAACATGTTTTCCAAATTTGCATCTCAAGATCTTACAGCTTTTTTTTAGTTGGATGTACAGCCCTTTGCATAATTGATGACTTTGAAGAAAAAAAAACCTCGAGTTTTCAAATAAAAAACCTCGAGTTTTTTTGGAAAGTGACCGAGTTTTGTCAACAAGCGGCTGGGTTTTTCAAAAAGTCAGTGAGTTTTTTTTGGAAACCTGGCCCAGTAATTCTAAAAGAGAAAGAGCTCGCTCAGTTTTTGAAAAACTCGATCAGTTTTTGAAAAAAACTCGCAGGTTTTTTTTGAAAACTCAAGTGTTTTCTCTTTTTCCAAAGTCATCAATTCTGCAAAGGGCTGTAACTCAAATAAATTATTCCTACATGGATACGTTTTTGATCAAAGATTATGTAGAATGTATATAGTTGAGTTTGGTATTTAGATAATTGGTTTAAATCTGATTGCTTTGAGTTGGAGTTCGACTTTTCATTGTACGGAATGTTTCAAATTGTGTTGGGCATTTGTTGTATGAGATGATGCAAAATCCTAGATTGAACTTGAAGAGTCTTGACGTGGTTCAGACAACAAATATGGTCAAGTTCGTGAAGTGATATCGAAAGATTTACCAACAGAGGGTCATAGTTTTTTCTTTCAATTGCTGATGATCCTCACCCGGTCGGTGCTGGTGCCACCGTGCCAGGTGATGAAGTGAAAATCAAGGCGGTGATAGTTGAGAATGAGCAGATCGACTGATGACATGTTGAATAATGACTGAGTTGTTGATCTGTGACAGTTGTTGACTAGCATTTGGCTTGATTTCGAAACTTGCCAAGCCAAACTTACAAAATACTTAAACCGATTCTCAAAGAACACCATCCTCATCCATCAACATCTCAACTTTCTCAAAACCAAGCAAAACCAAATCAAAACGAACTAGTCTCATTAATCCAATTAACCAATTCAAACTTATCTTCAACTTACTTCATTGGAATGGCAGTAGGAATCCCCAAAGTCTTTTCAAATATCGATACCGGTAAAGTAAATCAATCTAACAAATCCTTATCATCTTCAGAAACACATAAGCTGAAGTATCTTCTGCGTCAAAATCTAGGTCACCAATAATGAATTATTAGATGCTACTGAACCTTCGGCATTTGAATTCTTGGGTTTATCAAGAAAACAGAGGTTATATGGATTTGGTGGATGTTTAGCAGGTAAACAATCATCTCAAAATCGCAATCAATTTGTAAATCAGAAATCGAGCCTTAATGAAATCTTCTTACATTGTGAATGACTTGTTTAGGTGGATTTATCGTTTCGATCATTGGTGCTATCATGTTTATATTTGGAAATGTAGTATCATTTGCTTTTCTTTATGTATTAGGTATCGTGATCTCAATGGCTGGTACTGGATTTTTAATTGGGGTAGGATCTCTTTTTGGTCTTTATCTATTCTTTATGTGGTATTATATTGACATTCAGATTTACTTTGGATTGGTATCTATCTTGATCAGTTCGGTAGGCAGATCAAAACGGTAAGCATGATCTTGATTTTGTTCTGTAATCTTCGAATCGGCAAATTCATTTTATGTTCTGTTCCTGTAGATGTTTAAACCGGTTCGATTAATCGCTTCAATTCTATTCCTCAGTTGGTAAGTTGCCTCATCTCAATTATCGTACCTTTCACAATCGCTGATTCAAACCCTGACGATTTTCTTGTAGTATTATCATGGTCTTCGTCTCAGCGTTTGTCCTGAAAATGGATATCTTAGTCATCATCTTTGCTATTTTAACTTTCTTCGCTTATACTTGGTATTCACTCTCATGTAAGTTTGTTTTCTCTCTTTTCGACAAAAAAGAACCAATCTATTCTTTACTCATTTGACATTGTATGATTTTTTTCCAGATATCCCTTATGCAAGAGCTTTAGTAACAAAAGTAGTTTCATCAGCTGTTTGAAAAAGAGAAAAGAAATCAACTTTTATTTGAATGTTGAAGTTTTTTTAAAAAAAGGACAGATGTACCCTTCTTTGAGCTTATTCTCTTTTTCACTTCAATCCCATTTGGCTTGCTCTTTATATGTAGTGATAATATATCAAATACCTTTTTTTAACTTGTGATTATTAAGTAACTTTGCTTTTGTTGTATCATCTTAGTCTTTTATTCGAGGTTTTGAGTCATTAACTCCTTGTTGGTAGCGTGGAATTAAACCCAAAAATCTAAACTGTTGAGTGTGAAAAGAAAAATCAGGTTTTTCCAATGTGATAAGACACTTTCACTGGATTGTAGGTTGAAGAATCGACGCCTTTATACGACTGTTATCTTACAGAAACATGAAGACTTTCAAATTGCTCCCAATTTTTTAAACATACAAAAGTAATTGAAGTAAGGTATATATGAAAAATCAAATGTTGAGATTAGAAATTAAAAATTAATGATATAAAAAGACATTCATGTATTAATAGAAAGTTTGAAAGAAATTTATCATTCTCTCCACCATATCAGTACAAAGGAAGAATTTGAGTAACTATGAAATCCAGTCGATGAACAAAGCCTACCTAATGATGAAATCATGTCAAACAATCTCAAAAGAAGACATTCTATTATTTTATTGGTTCTAAGCTTTGAGAAGCTAATTGATCAACTGAACACAATCCTTTTAAGTTCAACATTTTTTTAGAATTCATCATTTCTTCTTGAGCAAGATTTGATAGTTTAATTCTTTCAAGTTGAACAAATTCTTTTAATTCTTCTTCTGTTTCCATTATTGTTGGTTTAGATTGATTTAAAACTTTATTAATTTTTTCTAATTCTGGTGTAATTTGATTTTCGTTTTTCTTGGTTTGGTATAAAGTATTATATACTTTTAGGATCGTGTTGGCTTCTCTTTTTGTGATTGGTTGAGTACTGTTATCAATTAATTCGTATAATCTATTAGTTATCTTGTTTATACTATCAGTTTGGTATTCACCAGTTGATTGTTCAGGTTCGTGATCCGGATTCTCGCTGGGACCTTTGATCATAGTAGGATCATCTTGCTGTTGAATTTTTAATAGAAGATCATCAAGGAATGGATCGTCTTGAACAACAATAGACATTGATGCTAATGTCATCACCACATTCAAATCATGGTAATTTAATCTAGCATTCCGAGTTGCTACACCTGTTAAAATCTCTCTAGCTTCAATTTTACGTGCTTGATTATCATCATTCCATAAAATCCGACAAAGTAATTGAGCAAGAGCTGAGATGTGTTGACGAAGAGTTTTAGTTAAAGTTTCAGATTGAGATGAATCAATTCCAGATAATTCACTTAAAATCTTTTTGAAACCTTCAATACCACCTTCTATATCATTTGAAAAATATTTACTTAATGAAATCCCACTTAAAGCTTGAGATCTAATCATGATAATCTTTTCTAAATCTTCCAATTTATCATTTTCTTTATCAAATGGACCTCTTAAACTTTCTACAATCTCAAAAGCTTGTCTTGATCCTTCGTATTCTTTTATTCGTGATTTTAATCTACCTAAATTCAAATTGATGATTGAAAATCTAGTTTCAATTTCAATGGATTCGGATATTTCATAAATTCCTTCTAAAATCTCTGCTGCTTTTTCTAAACTTAAACTGGCTTCTTCATACTTTCCTATGGCTTCTAATAAAATTCCTTGCAGATTTAAGATTGTTGGATCTGTTGGAAAACGTTGAACTAGTTTACTAACTGCTAACAAAGGTGCATGTAAATCCTCTAGGTTGTTTGTGACTTTTGATTCATTTTCAGCAAATCTTGCAAAGGCTGTTGTCGTATAGGCCAGATCAATTTGAGTCTGCATTGATCGTAAAACATAATCAATCAGAATTTCGTAGTGCAGTGGTTGTGTAGAAGATTAAATATACAATGATTAGTGACTTACTATGTTACTCTGAGATAGAGTAAAGGCGTGTTCAACAAGTTCGTTTGACTGATCCAAATGATCATTCAAAGCTGCAACCAAAGCTTGACCTAACCAAGCTAAAGCCCAATCAGGCTCATAAATTTGTGATTTTAAAAACGCTTGATTTGCTAATTCAACATCAGAATGAGCTAGATACAAGAATCCCAAATTAGTCCAACTAATATGATTTTTTGGATTCAATTCAACTGATTTAATATAAGCATGTTGACATAATCTTCGACTTAAATTGAAGGCAAGGGTACCAAGGGTGTCCAAAATTGAGAATTGTATGCTTGTATATTTAAGGCTGATCTAATACAACGTATTGCCTGTTGTAATGTAGATTCAGGACCTGCGCTTGTTTTGAAAAAAGTGGATTGATCAGTGAGAGAGGAGGATCTAGAGGTCGTGTCCAACCAACGGCTGAGCTGGCCTAATGTTGTTCCCAGATCGGCCCATGCCTGTGCACATCCTCCACTATCAGGGTCGAAAAGCTCAAGTGCTACCCTAACTTTTGAAGCGATGATTGACGTCAACAAAAATAGACCTGATGAACCATTTTCAGCTCCGATCGCACTGACTTCCAAGCAGGTCACAGAATCCACGCGTGGAAGTTTATTATCAACCCCCATTCTTGCAGCCAGATTCACAAAAAATGAAAGATGTGCTTTCAGCTTTTCACTTGTGTCCTCTTCACCTCGATCTGCATTGAAGGTTGAGATCGGAATTGACTTATTCCATCTGAAGAACTCCAAGAAGATATCACTAACAATTTTCCATCCTATTCTCATCGTATACCTAGAGTCACCAGTTTCAAAGACTTGATTGATTAGATCGAGTGATTGAATTAAATCTTCCTCTGATTGACTAAAGTTTCCTTTATTTGAAAATTGAATCGCATTGGCATATTTCGTCTCAGCTAGGATGATTTTGACAACTACTTCTTCTGGATGATGCTTTATAATCTTCTGAAGACCAGTGATTGCCGGTTCGATAAGGCCGATCTGCCTTTGAACATCACAGATACAAAAATCCGCAAACCATCTAGGAGATTGATCGTCATCGCTTTGATTCTCTTCTTGCTCATTTTCCTTCTCAAACAATTGAGAGGCCCGAATGAAGGTTTTTAAAGCAGCTACATGTTTTCCTACACCTCGATAGGCAAGTCCTAATTTGATCCATGTATGTGGATCCGTTGGAGTAGCACGTATGGCACGTTGAAACGTGCCAGCAGCCAATTGGAATTTACCTCGACTGAGTTCTACAGATCCGATCGCGTTCCAAGCCCAAGAGTGTTGTTGATAGCTTGCAAGTTGCAAAGGATTATGACCTTCACCAGCCTGATAGTCTGAACCAGTCTCTACGCCACCATTGATCAAACGTTTCGCTACCACTTCTACCAAGTCCCATTCTCGAGATTCGGCAAATTCGGTGGCTAATCGAAAGGCTGCTACACTTTCAGTAGCATCTAATTCAAAGGCTTTTTGAAAACATTTTGATGCTCTTCCATAATCACCTTCTTCAGAATAATACAGACCAAGATATGTAAAAGATGGCGCGAAGGCAGTATCAACTTTGACCGACTTGATAAAACAATTATATGCCTCTTTCTTCAACGTCGTTTTTTTCATCTCATCCATTTCTTCAGCCTTCTCTTTGTCTTCTGTATGATACATTGCCCATTTGCAGCGTGCCAATCGGTACCAGTTCTGTGCAAGATCTTGATGTATACTTTCTTGCTCAGGATCTGCTTCGATGAGCTCAGTCAGCTCGTGTATGATGTTATCAAACTGCTCAGCTGCTTCTTCAGTACGTTCTAACTCTACTAAACACCAAGCTTTGTCCGATTTGGCTTCTAAGCGATCGAGAGGTGGTAGGTCAGTCCATGATTTCAGGGCCTGAGTAAAAGACAAGATGGCCTCTAACCACCGTTGAGAAGATTTCAAAATTGATGCTTGAGCCATCAAGATTGGACCATGATTGGGCTCCTTGTCTAAAAGCTTATCGATCAGTCGCGTAGCTTGTAGGTGATATCGGGGTGCATCTAGGTAGGTGAGAGCAATTGCCAAATAACATTCAAGTTTTTTTGTAGCCTTTGTCAATCGTTTTCCAAGCAATCTTTCAAGCTCCTTGGTTTTCGAGATACAATTTTCAGCGATCAGTTTGACAGTTGACCAATCACGGAGCTCGTAGTAAACTGATAAGACAAGAAAGTGAGAGAGCAATGAGTGCTTTTGCGCGCTGTCGAAGCCGGATTCCATTTGTTCCAGTATATCGATATCATCAGGTTGCTCATCAGTTTCTGGTTCAAGATGAAATTGGCGGTAGGCCTCTAGCACTGCCGTGATATCCGAACTGGATCAAAATATATGAGACAAATCAATGGTCAGCTCCATAACCTTATCACGTCAATCGTGCAAGGTGATATGATTGAATGGAACCTACTTTGGGAAGATGTCACCAAGCGAAATGAGGTATCCATGAGGATCGTCTTCTTGCCGAGGGCTTGTGATCTCATTCCAATCTAAAACAATATCCCAGCTTTTAGTATTGGCGACCTTCAAAACCACTTGTCCACGGGCTACCTCAAGAATAGCATCACGTAATCTATCTTTGTCTTCTTGCTTGCTTTGAATGACTTCGGATGAATCAGCACTAGCAGCGTTAGATAAATCGGCCAGTTCACCTTTAAATGGAGATGGTAAAGCTTCAAGCCAATCTAAGTAATATGTGAGTAAGGCAAGCTCTACTTCTCTTCTGACCTCATCATCAGCATATGGATGGTTCAAGATTTCCTTCCATAACTTTGGAAGTTGGCTAGATGGGTAAACCTCGCGGATGACCTCAAGTCGAGTTTCCGCGGCTGTCTTAGGAATCGAAGTGAGTCGTGTACGTCGTTTAAATATTTCACGTGAGATTGCGTCATTTTCTTCAACTTGAGTCAGATCTGTGATTTGTTTAATGATGGGAAGATTGTTTTGTAGAAGTACTAATAAATCGAATATTGGTGAGTACTTTGGATTTGTATTATCGGGTTCCGGTAAGGTTGACAGAAGGGCTTCGTATAGGGAGTTGGGTAGCAAATGCGATAGTACGGAGATTGTCTAGATGATAAAACGTCAAATCGAACCGTCAGCGTGAGTTGCTAACAGGTCTGTAAGTCTTGAAATCTGACTGGAACGAAAATGTAAAACAACTGACCTGTTTTCTCGATATGTCTTTCAAAGAGATTAACTTTAGTATCGTATCACCAAGCTTTTCCGCATCCTGTCTTTATTTTAATTATCCAGCGCCAGAAGGTATCATAAGTTCGAGCTAGTCAGATCGTATGGTAATGTAGACAAGGAGAAGATGACGGTTGTGAAGAAAGGCGAAATTGACATTTACTTCTCGTTCCAAATTTTTGCAAGACCTTCTAATGCATCGATCAAAGCAGAGTTATCATTTGAACTTTCATGAAGTCGCACTAGCCCTTGCCATGCCAAAGGTTGAGAAGGATCCAAATCGATAGCCTGCTGATAAGCTGTTCTTGATTCTTCAAGTTTCTTGAGATTCAAACGTGCGAGGCCAAGGAAAACGTGACTGTGAATGCAAACAGCAATCTAAGTACCAATTTGAAGACCTGAATGTTGGATTAGTGACTGACGCATTATAAGATTGAGTATCCAAAGCAAGTGCTGATTCTGCTGCTGCTTCAGCTCCAGTCCAATCTTTCTTGGAGATAGCATCTCGTGCAGCCTTCAGGTGGGACTTTAAAGTTGCCATCAATTCCTTGTTATAGTTTGTCAAAAGTGATCCGGAGTTGAAAGTGACTTCCAAGTTAATTGGGAATAATGCTTGGATGAAGAGGTGTGAGGAGAGTTCCTTGGTACGCAAATCCCCCTGGAAGTCTTCATTTCTATGACTCGGAACATCTCCTCGCTTCATGAACTCCAGGCGGAACTGTACACCTGGACCCGGTAAGGCCGACGGGCCTGTAGTGGCTTACAGTGTTTATGCTGGACCACCTCTCACTTCAAAGTCCTCAGCTTACAATTTGAGTTACCTCTCTGGTCAACTCTTCAAATATGTTGACATTCCGCCTCCTTGGTCCATTTACATTGCAAAATCACCAAAAGCCAAAGAGGAGAAAAAGAAAACCCTCATCACAATTATATGTACACATTCAAGGAAAAAAGCCAGTGGATCAGTTTTAAGATTGAATTAATTAGTTGGGCGAAAACGATTAAGACAACATAAAAAGGTTTCATAGAGATCAGAAAAGTTAAACAAGAACAAAAAAATATTTTTTGATGATGGATGACGATGATGTGTTATCACCTAGCAATTAGAATTAGGTCTTTGAGACTGGGTTTGAAAATATAAGGAAGATGTGAAGTCAGCAAGGATAGAAAAGAAATCTATTGTTGAAAGAACCCCTGTGAGACTGTGAGCAATGTCAAAAGACAAATATCTCAAACTTTACTCAAGACAAATCTCATACCCAAAAAGAGACAAAGCATTATTTTCGTTTGGTAAGACTATGAACAACTGAAAGTAAGAAGACATGACTCTAATCACGGGACTCCATAGGTAAAATTTCATAATCGACTTCTTTATAAGTTGGAGTTTCGATTTTGGAATGGAGAGCAGGGGGTCTGCTAAACCGGAAATAGACTAGACCACCAGTAGCAACCAGGTAACCACCGATTTGAGTCGATGTGATATGAGATCCCAAAAAGATGACTGATCCGCCTATCAGTCCAATATCTTTCACGATACCTATGAAATGCAATACACTTCAGCATGTGGTGGGAGATGCTGCATAAGATCGCTTCAAATGTACCTGCCAGTGTAAGGACTAGAGCGCTTGTGCAGCTGACAAGAAAGAGGACGACGACGTTGAGAGCGAGGGCGAGTAAGATACTGGCGAAGATGACAGGCAAGCCAAGTCGAGGAACGATGAGGGAGATTGGCTCAAGCCCTTCGAAGATAGGGGCCAAGATGACAGCCATTGAAAAACAGATCTGGCGTGAAGAGATTATGATTAGTACGTGTCCACCTGAAATTCACATGTCGAGTTTGAAGTAATTTGCAAGATGTGGCTTTAGAAGTGAGACTGACGGGTGACAGAGCGCTTAGTGCGACTAGTGGATCGACATTTAGATCCTGCAAGAGGCGCTGTGTTGCAATCAAACGAGCAACCTCAGCTAGTGAGCCAGCAAATTGACAGAGTGCGCCAATCAAGACGCTATGTATAGAGGATATGAGAGGGTTTTGCTGGTCAGCCACAAGTTGATATATGAAAACTCTATCTGCATCTGCAACTCACAAGTGGATTTCTCCATAGGCTGCAACAGCTACACCACTGGATATGATTGAAACCACCACCACTGAGCGAGCGGGGGGCATCTGTTGTTCAAGTATAGCAGTAGCGACGACCAGTACGACGGGAGTGAAAGCTTTGAGCCTACAAAAATTCAGTGATTGGGTGGTCAGAGTTCGAGATCGAGATAAGTCAGTATGTATGAGAGTGATATGGAACGAAAGGGGTTTGAGGAAATGCGCATACATTTGAACAAATGAGACTGAGAGTAAGAGATACCTGTAAGGTTCGTAAAAGCAAACAGATCAACCAATCAGTCAGTCAAGGAGCCCTTCTTCAATAGTATAAGTCAATGGATAGGACAAATTGCTTTGGCCCATATTTTTGGGCAGCAGAAGGTGAGGGTAAAACAAAAACAGATGATAGAGATAGAGAGCTTCACGCCAGATTTGAGCACAAAATAGCCGATCCGTAAGCCAAACCAACCGTCAAAACATTTTTGAACCAAAATGGCCAAGTGACGCGTTCTTGATAGGATGCATATTCCTTTGGTCGAGTCCATTTAACAAGAAGTCTAGTTCAAAGCAAAATCAAGGTTATTCACATCGAGCTCGTTGATCATTTGCATAGAAATCTTTAGAATAACTTACCTAGACGTCAGAGAGATCGAAGCAAAGTGAAGGGCGAGGATGTGGAAGGGGAATGGGAAATTGAATGTGGTCTGAAACGTATGATGAGAGATATCTCAATGAGACTATCAAACTCAGAGTATCATTTGGAAAGACTGACATAGATTGATTTGTTGAAGAGTGTAAGTGAGGCCGAAAGAAATATGGTGAGGATTAGTGTTGAAGATGATGAGAATGATGAATGATGATGAGTCCGAGCTTGATTTGATGGTGAAGTTGAGATGGTTGAGATGGTAGTTGAGATTGATGAGTTGGATGAACTTGTTGAAGTCATTGAAGAAGAAATCATTAGTTCTCGTTTCTTGATATTTCCTTGTTTGATGATGCTATGCTAGATTGTGTTCTGATGTGTTCTTTTGGATGAGGGTCTTTAACTCTTCGAGGTTTGATGTTCTTCTGCGACCGAACCGATAGAAAAACTCTCATCAGCTTTCAAGTCTCTCACTCATCTCGATGTGAACTTCCACACTTTACATAAGTGCTTACTTTGACTTTCATCCAACATCAGAATTCCCCTAGGATTCTTATCTTTGCTAACTTTGTTTTGCTCAGCCTTCTTCCGGTCGATTTGTTGGTCCTTCGTCACGTCAAGTCGCGTCAACGATAGAAGCGCAGTTCGGTCACTTCAAAGCTCATGAAGGGTCAGTTAAACTTTTGGGTGACAAATCATTATGGGTCTTCACAGGTTACAAATCACCGAATATATATGTGTAGGGTCGCTGAAATCGGTGAAATCAAGGAAATCCCACTTTATCGGGCTGAATTCTTGGGGTACTTGGCAATGATCCGCCTGATATCAATCAGTCTCAATGGGCTCTGGAGAAGCATGGAAAGATTGGGGGTTATGTTGCATCAATCATCTGGAAAAGCTGAAATCATATGAAGCACGTGTGGAATCTCATATTTAGAATTTTAGGTGCACCACCCCTGAGTCATCGGAAGAACTGTGTTGGTAGGAATTTTGGTTATGAATTTACAATCAGTGTGACTAGTGATGATAGACATCCTGAACTCCAGCCTTCAAAGCAGCCATGCTATATGAACACCCGAGATGTTTGAAAGTGGACTGCCCTGAAAAATGACCAGAAGATATTGACCCCAAGAATCAATGGTTTTGATCAGCGTATCATTTGGAAATGGTATCTGTCCAAACCACGGTGAGGGAAGAAATAAGAAAGGAATATGATTTACTGGGGCATCACTATCGTCATCAATACCACGTCAAAAAAAATCAAATGAGGATTTAATGCCATTTCAGAGATGTTCAAACAGATCAAGTACATTCTTCATACTCAAAGGTAATTGTTAACAATCACAATGTAACAAAATTCGACGAGGAAGATTATAAAAGAGGTTAGGCCAGATGAGAAAATTTATGATGAGGAACTGAAATGTAACAGATAGATATGCCTAGACATAAGAAAACAAGAGTCAATTCAATCAAAACAGTGAGGTATCTTGTTTTTGATCTTGTTTTCTGAAATGCACCTGTTTTGGGTTCAAATTCCACTATACTGTCCAATTTGTATCCATAGAAGTTTTTTAGACCACTCAACCATTCATGTTCATACTATATATTGAGAACATTTTCAACGACTCGCGGGTCACGATTGAGTGGTCAAGGAAATTGGTGACAGGCTTGATATGGAGCCTAGGTTGTATGTGCATTTCTCTGAGGATAATCTCAGAAGAGCTGTACTTGAAGAAAGAAAATACCAGCTTTTCTTCTTGTTACACTAGTTGCTATATGAGTAGATGGTAGACCACATCTATCAGAAAGACAAGCCTATAACGCTCTCTTTCATCCCAAGACCCAGGTTGACTTTGTAGCAAATCCTTGTATCTGAGAGGCAGTCAACCTATTCTTTCAAGAGATTGTTTGGCACAGAAAAATCTGTTGGGTCTCCTTTCCTGGTTCCTTTTGTCTTGTGCACTTTGGGGTATCTTTGATACTAGGATCCAAATCAGCATTGAGGACATTACTCATTGATGAGTAAAGCTTGATGCAAAAGGTGCCCCCATATATTGAGGTATCAAGAATTAGTCTTCTGTCTACAAGGGAGGGAAATGTGGGATAATCAGTAAAATTAGTCAGGTGAGTGGCACCATTGTATTTTTTCGTTGTTGTAGAAGCAGCCTGAAAATGCCAGTTGTTTTATCTCAGCAGAAGAACCAGAACACAACGATGATCGCGGTTGAGTTTGCCTAGGCCAAAGTATTAGAGCTGCAGATAGAAGGTTGAGAATTGTTGGAAGCACATAATCTCTGTCTAAGGTCGCAATAGAAGAATTGGTTGTATGTGCCAGCTAGCCTTGGCAAACATGGCCCACTCCTTTTGCAAGGTCTCATCAGTAGACCTTCACTAAAGCACCAGAAATTAAAGGTATGCTGCTGCAGGAAATTCTAGGAGCAACATAAGTATACAATGGATTGCAAAAGCGAAATCATGCAAGAGTGTAGAAGAAATGGCATATGTAGGTTCCAAGTGAAGGACTTGAGTCTTGACCCTGCGCGTGCGGTACCGAAGGGCTTGGTGCGGGCACCCAGCAAACATCCCTCCACAAACAGCCGCTTGGATGTTTGGTTCGTGTCCCAGAGACTTGGGACCTCTTTATACCACCATCTGGCATCAATTGATAAAGCAATGGGTGTCTTCCTCACACGGGTCGGCCAGTTTCTTTCTCGCAAGCTCCTGCCTCACCAGAGCAGACTTTCTGATCTTTTCCAATGACTCGTAACCTTCTGGCGCTTGAGCTCAGACTGTCTTCTGCAATCTCCTGATCTTTCTACAGCTTACGGGTACGCAGATCACCGCTGGCACCGATCAGTCTGGAGCCAAGGAGCTTGTTCTGAAGGCTCGAGACCCTCCATCTCAAGCAATCGTGAGCCAATTTTCCATCTGTCCTTCACTTCCAGCGAGCCACTCAAGCATGGGATTTTTCAGGGGCTGTTGTTTGGCTCGATTCTCAATCCATGGGCTCCAAGCGATTGGGTAGAGGTTTCGGACCAAGTTCGTGGCGGATCCTCCACTGCGTTGCTTGACCTCCTTCAGCCGAATTTTCCAACCGCTGGCGTTTGTTTTCATGGCACACTCGATACCTTGACTCTCGGTGGCGCAGGTTTCGCGAGCCAAAGCTATGAAAAAAAGTTGCTTTCGTTCCCTCAAGATCGCTTCACTGGACTTGTTCTTGATGTGGGATTATCTCCTTCCAAAGATACATCGAGTATCCGTACCTTCACCATCGTTCTCAAGAACGACCTTGCTGGACCCGACGTAGATGGACGGCGGCAGTCTACCCTTTCATACGAGTTTGACTTCACTCTCCCTGCTACCAGTCCCACATCGGACACAGAACCTCCGCTTGATTGGGTGCTTTCAATACCAATCCCCTTCTCCGAGCTTCGGGCCACTTATCGAGGAAGGCCTAAGCCTGACGCGAAAAAGTTTGACCCGTCGCATATCACCGCTCTGTCAATAATGTGTCGAAGTTTTTTTAACGAGCAAAGCGGTCCCTTTAGCCTTACAATCTTTCGAATCGGTTTCCTCTACTCTCAAGGTGCCAATGAATGATCAAAAACCCAGCTCCTCGGAGTTGAGTGACCACCGAGGGAGAGGTCTGTCCTTAAAGGACCACTTAGTGCTAACGCCCGGGAACCGTGATATTTCGGGACTGAAATGTAACTATGTATCTTGTCAGCTCAAGATTTGTCAGCAAATAAACATCTGTGCAAGGTTTCACCGATGTGGCGATATGATGAGGCAATGTCAGAGGAAGTGATCGTCATCTACCCACATCTATCAATTTGGTCTGAGTGGAGGCAAGATCATACTAAAATAATTATACGCCTGCTTCAGCATTTGCCATCAGGTAAGCCACGACTAGCTCTGAAATCACCAGCTGTAAGTCGTGATTCAGGACCTCCTGATCAAGCATTTCATTGACCAGCATAAAGTACAGCACTTGCTTTGTTTGACGTTTGAGTCATTGGGGTAGGAAGGTACAGCACTTCCCTCATAGTTGGCTTGGAGGCAACAATCCAAGGAGTTCTTGAACGGCAGCCTCAATGAACAGAGCACTCAAGATAAGGCAACATCAGCCCCAATTCCATACCTCAGTGTTATCCTTGAGGGACTCCTCCCCTGAGACAAAAAGTCAAGTCATTATGCCCTGCAAGGGAGTGATTTTGGCAGTGGATATCCTCTTCTAGAGGCCTTTCCACTATGGTGGCAACACATTGGAGGGATACTAAGTTGGAGGTAAAGCTACAAGATTTCAACATGTCCATCCATGATAATATGGAATGAAGTCTGATCAATGCCATTCATGTAATTTGGATAACTTTGCCATGTGGTAGAAAGCTGTTCTTTTCCATCTATTGCTAATGAATACAGAATTGCAGGTGAACTGGACAGTATCACAAGTTAGTGATGTAAATATGCACTCAGGTTATGGATCACATAGGAGTGAACTGGAGAGGAAATACACCTGGTGGAAGGTGACACAAATGAATAAGTAAAGTGTCTGAGTGAAGAAAATAACCAAAACACACAGCCATTCTTTATATAGTGAACAGCTCTCTAGATATAGGTTTTGGAAACATATAGGTTTTGTGTCTCTCATTTGCCGCATTGAGAATAATCACTGTAAACATCATTCAACTTCCCCAATTTGGCAGAGGAAAATGATTAATAGTACAGTTTTTCATAAAAGAATCTAATACTGCACACCTGGGCCATTTCACCCACACTACATATGTGCAGCAAGCTAAGTCAATAGTTGTCTATCATGTACATACAGGTCTGCTCAGTTTTTTGCCCATCAGAATAAATAAATCACATGTTATACCACATGTAACTTTTTTGACTTTGAAATTTTTTTCCCAAAAATTCACTACATATAATTCTGTAGCTGCTCAGGCAATATTGTTGAAGCTATGTCTTAGTAACAGAAAGTGTGTTACATGCAGTTGAGTTGATGAGATCACACCAAAACATTGAGTCAGTGTATGTAGTCAATCTTTTGGAAGCTTTTTTCAATCTGAAAGAAGTTACAGCATGTATTACATATGAATAACTTGTCCTGATGAGCAGATAACTGAGCAGAACTGTATGTACATGATAACCACATATTCACTGAGCCTGCTACACATATGTAGTGTGGGTGTTATGGCTCAGGTGTGGAGTGATAGACCATTTTATGACAAATCATACTCCCAATCATTTTTCCCTGCCCACTTGGGGAACCCGAATAATGTCTGCAGTGTAATGGTAATGGGTGCTAGCATCATGGAACAAAAGATTTAGACACAGTATTTGTGTCAACACAGTAAAACAAACATAGCATGAATTTATTATAGTTGTTGGTGACACGTTATTAACAAATGGGAATGTGAATGTAATTCGGGCGGTAACATTCTATGTGTAATTATACTAACGGGTCAGATCTTCCTTTTAACTTATAGCACCACAGCTCTTGACGTCATAAGCTGTTTACTGTTTTCCGAATTTCATTACTCCATTCCCATAGTGTTTACAATCAAATTTCTCTTCAATTCAATCTCTTATTGTGTTATTTTTTGCACCCTTGCTCCCTTTGTCCCTACTTTGTTTGGTATTTTGTTATTATTTATCTTTTCAGACGATGAAGATTTTTATTTTAACTAGTGGTTTAAGTTTATGAGGTTTACTCTTTATTTTTTAGTTTGTTATAGCAGTGTTTGTTACTTTTTTATTGTTTGAGTTGTTTAGTTTTTTAGTCATTGTTTCAGTCTAGGTCCGCTAGCCTCCCTGTAGGGTGTGCTTTTCAGTTATTATCAGAAATTTATTCACCCTTGGCAATCTGCCTTGGGTTTTGCCCAAAACTCTTGCCCACTTTAGTATTTTTTTATACTAAGTATTGTAAGTTTGATAAGTTCACATTTCCACAGGCGGGTTTTTGCTTTTATTTGCAATAATTTTACAGTGAAAGGGGTCTTACTCTTGTCCAACTATCATCCTTCCCCATCATCACCTCTCAATTTATTAATGTCAACTTCTTTCAATACTTGCTGTTCATCAAAAACGGCTTTGACATCAAAACCTCCGGATACTACACCAGATTGCAAATTTACACCTGAGTTTAGAAAATTAAGAAAACACAGAAAATTATACACAAGGTGAAAGGGGTAAGAAAAATATGGAAAAATATGGGATACATCCCCCTATGTGTGCCCATCATTTCATATATTTTTTCAGATTTTTACGGCAGCAGTGTATATCAGGTCAGAAACTCAGTTACTGTCCAAGACTGTCAGTCATTGAGGCATTAACCTTGTGAGAACAATAAAATTGTCAATTTTTACATCAAAATCTGTAATGTCTCCACATTTTGAATGCTACATTTTTATTCTACCACATACGCATTCTAATGAGTGGTGCGTCTCCAAAAACAAGTGAGGCACAGCAACCACAGTCCCCAAAAGCTAGAAAAGCTTACGGCCTGCTTGGCTGGAACCCAAATACCGGTGTTTGGCAACCATATTTGATTGGAAACCAAACACAGTATTTGATCAAATACCAATCCAATTTGGAGAACAGCCTCAAGGACATTTATCAAACCAGAAACTCTTTTTGCCCTTGATTGATCAAATTCATCATCTTCTACACAAAACACCAACCATGCTTTTATTCCCTTCAAACACCCCTTTCCTTCACTCAGCATTCTCTTCACTTGAACTCAAGCCAATAACAACTCAAGGATGCTCTGATATCCTTTCGTAATGGGTTTCTTCACTGAAATCAACCATAAGTAGTGTACAAAAACAAAACAAAAAACAATCCAGATTGTTGATGGCCATCATGTAAGATGGTTTAGAGACAAGAAAGAATTTGATTTTCAAAAAGATACCAAATTTGGGTACACTTGAAATGGTTACCAAACAGTCAAATGACCATAAAAGAGGTCCACAACAGACCTGTTGACCTTTTTGGTTTACTGTTTGGTAATTGTATAACCAAAATTCAAACTTTTCACTCCACCCGTTGAAAAAGGGGCAAATTGAAATTTTGTTTTTGTGTAACAATATGGGGCTAAACCAGCCAAACGGGCCCTTAGAGCACCCACTATGGTGGGAGTGTTTTATTGTATAGTTTGCGTTCCTGAGAACGAAGTTTGATCATGCATGTTTTAACAAAGTTGGTAACCACATTAAACCCACTGTGGGATAATTTATTGTCTGCTTTCCGTAGTTCCTACAATAAATCAAGTCCTAGGCTTGCGTAGATCCAAGCACGTGGGGTGCAAGATTTAACGCAGCAGTACAGACCGCAAGCCTAAATCAAGTTCATAGTGGACCTGTGGGTATTTTAGTGTTACAGTAAAACTAAATCACCAAGTTAGCGCAACCATACTGGGTGCTCTTACAAATCTTTGCTGCAATGGTTTTAGCATTCAGATGAAAACCATAGACCTAGTATACAACTTTCATAATCTGCAACTGCCAAATTGATCAGATGAAAATTGTTGTATTTGTGAGTGCTCAAAAGTTTCTGCCCAAGCCTTGGTAGTTTTTGACAAAATCTGAGTTTCTGACCAAATATACCCCAGAATCATTTTTCTTCAGAACATCTTCAAAACTGCAGGTAAAGATATGAAAAAGTTTTAAGAATGATGGGACATCACCGGCGGATTAAACCATAATTTTATCAAATTTTTCCAACCTCTCACACAAATTTTCTATGACTTTTCTAGACTCCACAGGAAAGTACTGATTTGACATAGTGTGAGAATCAACACTTGTTGAAAATCATTACTTCTTTGAATAGATGGATCTCAGGTGAGCTTATTTAATCCTCAATTGTACTTTATGATTGAACTCAATGCATCATTGAGTCTCCTCATTCCTTCAACCCATGCCTGCATTGAATGCTTTGTTAAACTCCAGCCAGTTATTCACTATGTATGCAATGTAAACCCTGCCCTTGAATCCCTTTCACTTGATGACTTGGAGTGGGTCCTTGTTGAGACAATTGTCAAATTTTTATCTCCCCTCACTCATGTCATTAAGGGGATTGAAGGTCACTTGTATACTACCTTTTCCAATGTTATGCCAGACTATCAATGGCTAGTGGAATGACTCAAATTGGTGAGTTTTTTTATCTTTATTTTTATCTTTCAATTTCAAGTCACTAATGCCTGCATTTGATTTGTTGATCAAATCTTAGGCTTGGCACAATTCCACCTGCCAGGAGTTGAAGGTTTTCATCATGTGGATGATGATGAAAATTGTCCATAATCAAGACACTGCTCAGAAGAACGCAGTGTACATCTGTGCTGCTATACTCAATCCTTGACCAAAACTTACTGCAGTCAAGGGTTCAACCATGGAGTCTCTTGGTTGGGGACCTGAAGACTTGATCAACCAACAAGTTCAAGCTGCCTTGCAAAACAACCTCAGCACTTCATTAAACACCACAAGACTATTCCTATCAAACATGAGGGCAACAAGTACTTAACTGCACCTCAAGAGGATGAGAGATGTGATTTCACTCACTACTGGAAGCTGAATAAATGTCACTGGCCCACTTTAGCA